TACAGTGCAAAGTAGTGCATGGAGGACAGCTGACAGATGCATTCCAAGTAAGGACCGGAGTCAGACAAGGCTGTTTACTCTCTCCCTTCCTCTTTCTTCAGGTGATCGGCTGGATTATGAAGACCTCGACATCTGAAGGAAAACACGGAATACAATGGACAGCTCAGAATCAATTAGACGATTTGGACTTCGCAGATGACCTAGCCCTCCTATCACGTGCACACGAACAGATGAAGATGAAGACAGCCAATGTAGCAGCAGTCTCTGCATCAGTAGGCCTCAGTATACACAAAGGGAAAACCAAGGTCCTCAAATTCAAAGCGGAGAACAGCAATCCAATCACTCTTGATGGCGAAACTTTGGAAGATGTAGAGTCCTTCACGTACCTAGGAAGCATCATCGATGAACAAGGAGGATCCGATGCAGACGTAAAGGCGAGGATCGGCAAAGCAAGGGTCGCATTCCTACAATTGAAGAACATATGGAACTCAAAACAACTTTCAACCAATATCAAAGTGAGAATCTTCAATACGAACGTCAAGGCAGTTCTACTGTATGGAGCTGAAACTTGGAGAACTACAACAACCACCATCAAGAAAGTACAAGTATTTGTAAATAGCTGTCTACGCAAGATACTCAACATCCATTGGCCGGATACCATCATCAATAGCCTTCTGTGGGAGAGAACAAACCAACTTCCAACTGAAGAAGAAATTAGGAAAAGACTATGGAAATGGATAGGACATACATTACGCAAATCGTCAAACTGCATCACGAGGCAAGCCCTAACTTGGAATCCTGAAAGGAAGCGAAAAAGAGGAAGGCCAAAGAACACATTGCGTCGGATAATAGAAGCAGATATGAAAACGATGAATTACAACTGGACGGAGCTAGAAAGGATTGCCCAGGACAGAGTTGGATGGAGAATGCTGGTGAGTGGCCTATGCTCCTTCAAGAGGAGTAACAGGCGTAAGTAAGTAAGTAAGTAAGAACAGTAAATTTACTTTTATGTCGGGACTATCTTTGTGTCTGAATATGTCAGGATGTCCGAGTAAGAAACGATTGGTTTTGGAGGAACGAGGGCTTAAAAACTCCACATAGACAGCACACAAAATTTATGCTCCTATATGATTATCTAGTACGAATGACACACAAAAGCTTCGTACATCAAACAAAAAACTGTCAGGAATGCTGTATCCCTAGAAATCATTTGGTAAATATATTGCTTTTGTAATTTAATTTCGAAGATTCGAACTTCTCGTTTTCACGCCAAAAGTGCTAATTCTTACCATCAGATTGTATTTCCGACTTGGAAGGACCATGGATACCACTGGTCCGTCTCGTCTTTAAATATGTTATCTTGTAATGTTCTCCAAGGATTTTTTATACTTTATATGTATGTCTGAGTTGTGTATTTGTTGTTATTCGTGCCTCTGGCTGCTTGTGAAATATATATTTACTCCATCTGGACCTGGACTTCTCCCTCTAGCTATCAAGCCTAAAACGCATAGAAACAATTTATCTTGTCTTGTTGCTGTGTTGCTGAACCATCGTTCCATTCACCGATTTTAGATGATCTCATAATCTCTTAAAACATGGCAAACACGTAGCTTAGTGTAGTCGAACAAACCTTGGGTTCTTGGTTACTGTTCTGCATCCATACTGAGTAATGTAAGTCTAATCATGATATGAATTAACCAAATAAAATTAGATCCTTGATGTCCTTTTTGATGTGGGAATTTTCCTGTAGGCGTTCAATATTTGTTGCAAAAAAGAATGATAACCCTTGTTTGTTTAGAACATTTCGTTTAATATACTTCAGCGTAGAATCCAAACTACGGTTTGGACTGCTGAATAGCCTTCCAGGTAGATTAGACACGCGCCCTTGCTCGTCAAAATCAAAACAAATAATCGGGTAAATAGCGGTTCTATAATACATCATAATTTTAAATGTAAATCGTTACCTAAACAAATATTACCACCCAGCTATTCAACCAATATTTGTTCAATCAATCAAATCTCAATTACAATAAATAAAGAAGTTGATAAAAGATGCTCGAAAATTAGCAGTCACAACAAATGAAAGGTATTCTATCCTGACTGGATAGAACACACACAAAAGGAGGAGCAAATCAATATGCCTGCTGCCAAGAACAAGTGTCAAGTAAAACAACATAGATTCAGTTCGAGAAGAAACACAAAAACTTAGTGAAGGCGTGATAAAAAAACCATAATAAAATGCAAATATTAAAAATTCAAATGTAAACAAAAAACTAACAGTGTACAACTAAGGGGATCAATAGGAACAAAGTGCATGTATATATATGGAGGGATTTTCACACACACAAGACATTCAAAATGGATCTTACATTCAGTATATAACCTCTATGATTCTATGTTGATTGTACAATGATGATTGGACATTAGTGAAGTTTTCAGATCAACCTTTCACTGTGTTTAGATAGCTGCATAACCATCGCTAGGTAGTTTTTATTTATTTTCCTTTGATGTATTCACGACTTGACAACAGAACTGTTGATACATGATGGAAAGGACGTGCCCATTCTTGTTCAAATTTGGTTTCATTTGATATGGACTATTTCCATCCCGTAGTGTTCAAAATTTTGGTCGTACGATACAGCTTATCTAAGTCAAACTATATTCAACGATCCTAACTAACATATAAACTTATGGATAGACGACCGATTGACACCTTGTGTTCATAACACTAATCACAAATATTTTACCCTTTAATACCATCTGTAATACAAACTCTATATTTCGCAATCGCAAAATCATGTGCTTTATGCTTTTTTCTTTCGTTATATACTTCGTATTCGTTTTTCATATCTAGTAAATAACCATGTCTCTTGAGTCTTCTTTTAATCTCCATAACATGTTGTTTAACTGTCGATGGTGTCGCATACAATGAGTTTTAAAATTACCTTGCACGACGACTCAATAAAACTTAAAGAGACTAGAGGATATTCGGGTGGTGAATGGGAAACACTCAGAAAATGTCCGTAAGAACCACCATCAATCATAACAGTGCCTAGAAAACATTGGTGATGGGGTGATGATTTCAGTCCACCTATGTTTGTGGGGCAAAGGATTTGGGTTGGCTCTGGCGCTATATGACTGGTAATGAGACAACCACTGAAAAGATACTGAGATTTCTTCCCTCGCATTTCCAGCTTCTAGGACCCATGTTTTATGCCTTATACTGGTTTCGCTAGTTAACATGCATCGGTGATGAAGCGATATGGGCATCTGAACAATTTGGGTTACTGTTAGTTCTTCGAAATCAATATGCAATTACCTCACTTTACTCTTCGACATTCAATCTCACTGTTTCCATGCGTTAGGTCCCAATAAACATAATGAATGGCAACTTTGGGATCCTTTTATGGGCCAATACTAAATTTATATTTTTATCGTATAATTGTTAAATAACTAAACTATTCATAGTCATGTTCCTCTTATTATAAGCTTTATTTTGACCTATGAACCATTATTAAACGTTTTACCATTCTTGAATTATGCCCTGTCCATTAGTCTTTGCCTCCCACATTCACAGCCACATTTGGCCAGTTTTTGTAATGTTATTTTTCATTTTATGCTACGTTGTGGACTGTTTGATTGGTATATAAACTCAGTATGTTTAAAAGATAAGGATTAATATTGCGGAGGCTGAGATTGGTGTTCTGGACTTACCTGGTTGTGCTAGGCGGAAAGCAGGACTGATCAGGACTATGGCTGCTTGCACGCGTTTTACGCGTCCTTGATTCGATTGATAATTTACTGCTTCTGATTGGCGGCTTTGGGCTATAACACCCTGATAAGATGCTTCACATCCTGTGTTTAGTTCTCATGGTTTACCTGAAGTTCCATCAGCATTTAGCTTGAGTTCTGACTGATGATAGGCGCACCTCCCGTTGCGAAAGCCAAATTTTATCAACCACTGTTTGTTGTTAGTTCTGCCGATTTCTTCCTCTACTTTTTTCAGGAGCGTGAATGTAACATTTTTCTGGTTAGCGTTTTTTAGCGAGTTAGTTTTCTACGGGATGGGACCGCTAACCGCATGCCCGTAACTCCTCCTTTACCCGGGCTTGGGACCGGCAGTAACCCTAGAAGAGCTACGGGCGGAGTAACGAATGTAACTTTGTGAAGTAAAATTTGGATAGGATATGTGTTCGCCAGGTTTACAATTCGTATGATGTACCAGAAGTGGGAAAATATTTAGGATATATACTATACAATGTAGTCCATTTTTAACACACTGTATTGCTTCAAGACCTCGTATGGTATAAGACACCTTTTATGGGGAAAGTAAAGTTCAAGTTCTTATATTGAGTTTAAAAAACTCATTCACAACAAGACAAATGTCCAAAGAAACTCCCTCACTGAACTGACTAATCAAACCAACATACTGTAGCTGAATTCTTCCGTTCTCTAACTATTTTGTTCACCCAAACGGGTATTTACTTTGCTTTCAGTTTCCGGAGTCCATATGTTGAAGGGATTTGGTTATTTGTTCTAGTGCCACTCACGTGATCCAAATATTCATTTGTATATCATCAAGCAACAAAAGCTAGGATTGAGGTCTAAAGTTAAGTTATGGTCTTGGATTAACCCTCTCGTTCACCAAAACTGAAAGTAGACTATTAAAAAAGACGTCAGAACAAGTTGCATATGTAAAGTGAGTTGTTAGCATGCAAAAGCAAGTATTGAAATGCTTCACAAAGTTTCTAATGATAAGCAGTTACACAAGGAAAATTCCATGATGGCCTTAATAATTTTTCATGGTCACTAAAAGTGGTTGTACAGATGAAGTGAAATTACGAAAATATGGATAATAATCAGTCTTTAAGCCTTAAATCAATGTTTGATTTGTGACGGTTATTTTCAATTTGCTGTTCAAGCACACAACTCATTTTTACCCCTAACTCTTGTTCTGCAAAAATTGGGTGTTGCATGTTGTTTTTCTGCACTACTTAGTTAACTAATAACTGTGAATTGTGGAGGCACGTTTGGTTGTACTGTGGTCCCATTTGGTTTTATGACACTGAACTAGTTATTCGCGTTCTTGGATTAATATCTAATTGACTTTCTGATTACTAGCGGGCAGAACATGTTTCTTGAATTCTCGCTGATTCCAGGAAATATAATTCCACAAAAGCCTTCCGAATTCGGTTGGACAATGTTTTCACGGGTTTACTTAAATGGATTTTAACATTTTGCATTCCTCAACTGCGCATGATGCCAGACCGTTCCTTTAGTCAGGCAAATAATTCAGGTGAAGAAAGTCACGTGATCTCGAATGCGGGTAGCTTTTGCGAACTAGATGACCATGTTTGTCCTTCTGATAATAATCTCAGTCGTCTTTCACCGCCATCTGCTACTTTCCTAATTCATGGATCAGAGATTCCTCACCATGCTCCTGCTCCTCCTATCAGGTCTTCAAGTACATTGTGAGTCTTCACGAAACGTTTTATTCCTGAAAATGTTCTGAGATTTGAGTTTTCTTCCCTGATTGAGTTACTAATATAAAATAATTTATCACTGTCTAGTCTGTTAGGACGAGTGCTTAAAGGGGAGGTTGTGGTTTTTGTCGGTCAGATTCAACTGATGGGCATCTTGTACTTGTTTTTCCTTTTTGACGTGAATGAAAAATTCGCAGTAGACCATTCGCAACTGGTTATTGTAGTCTGTAACAATCCAATTACTACTAAGCCACTACGGAAGAAGATTAGCCAGCGATAGTTTGCTGATAAACTTGACAGTTATAACACCAGCTCATAATAATCGACGAGACAATAATTTACAAAGAATCTTGGTGAACTTGGTAAACTTTACCATCTTACTAGGGTCAGGAGAGTATTCGAGGTTACAAGTCAAAGTTAGGGATTGGAGTTAAGGTTTTCCATCACGTACTAATGTCAGCTATAATTCCAAAGTGTCATTTGACTGCGTGAATGACTGGATTTCGTGCCAAAATTCAAGACTTGCTGTCCATAAGTTATGGTCTCGCCTATCAGAGATAGCTGTATTAGTCATAATTTACCTTCAAAAGTAAGTCGCTACTCAACTTAGGATGCTGTGTTCTACATCCTTATTTATTAGTTTCCCCACAGTAAAATTGCCAAACATATTTAACTACACGTAAAGTTAAGTGACTCAAATTGACCCTTAAAATTTTATAATCAGTGTTAGCCAACTAAAGAGATGAGTTGAGTTTCATTCGTCAGACTGAAATCAGTCCATTTTTAATGTTTGGCTATATGATTATGTTTTTTTTCTCCTCCATCACACAAAACTGTAAGTAGTTTATACGATCCTAACCTAATTCCGCATTTGTATGGATAAGATAATGGTCTACAAAATTAGATTAGTAGACTATTTTAAAACCACACCCTAATCTGTCAGGGTATCTTGGAGTTCCTATTGTCTAGTACATCACTAATAGTCTAGTTGAGATTTATTTATACAACTCCAGATGAATCAGTCCTTATTCATTAATTCAGGGAACATAATGTTGACACAACCCATCTTACATGTCTTTGAGTTAATATCTTCATACAGCTGCTCCCAAGCTGATCCTTCTATATCCACATGGATCCGTGTTTTCAGAAAGCGGTGTAAGTAAACTATTTGAATCAAGGACGTCAGCTAAACTTCGTATTTCTAAAGTGCAAATCTCATCCCTAAAAATAATGTTGTTACGGTATTTCAACACTTCATATTTGACTTCGCTTCAGCTTTGCTATACTCGTCTAAATTTGGCACAATTTAAATATCAATGTGTATCCTCGGAGATCGATTGTTAGTTTTATGAAGAACCTCGAAATGTAATGTTCGTTTCTCATATGGTTGATACGCCCGTGCACCAAACTCCAATACTGTGAATGAGACCATTATATCCTCTTCTTTCCTAATACACCAGAGTGAGTGTAGTACTTGTTGGTCAAGACATTAGGAGAATTATCTGCACAAGTGAAAACACATTGAAAGTCCATGAACAAAATTCACTGAATAAATTAATGTAACAAAAATGTGTTGACAATTGACCTTAAACTGATATGCGAACTTAAAACTGGTTTTTTCATAAGTTATATTTGGGACTTCTACATCCTCAACAATGATGTTACCATATTTGTACCATAGCTCATTCAACTTGCTTGTAAATGATGTATCTTACTACATTAGATCAGTTATTTGCTGACTATTGTCTTGGTCAGGTCAATAATTAAAGTTTAACGCAAATCGGTAACCAAATGTACGTTCATGTGTTTTTAGCCACCAACGTTTTATAAAGACTAGTATTACTGTCATGTATCAAAATGAAGCAAAGCTCTTAACTGTAGCTCAACGACTGAAAGTCGAGTCCTTTAAGTATTAAACAACTCCAAGCTGTATTCTCTTCTTCGTCTACTCCTAAATCCAATTAACGGTCGTTCAGTATAAACTACGTTAATAAATGCACAGTCAACTGTAGCTGTTAAACTAAATTAGGGAAAACTCGTTGGTTTGGTTATTACTGATCTGAAACCATTTCTATGTTTTATCAGTGCCCTAACATGTAAATTGTAAATGTAGACATTATTGGCGGACACCAATTTATCGTGGTTATCTTCAAAGTGAAATTTTTGCTCTAGTAAAAAAATAAACAAGGTTTGGTGGTTGGATAAGACATTCCCAAACTACTGCCTAAATGTATTTGTTCATCATGACTGTTCGCGTCCCCTAATTTTTATTTAACTTTGTTTTAAGTATGCTCTTGGAAACAACAATATTCACCTAACGTAGAGACTCCCTTATCCACACCAGCTACGGAGACATAGGTTTTTTGGTAGGAATATTGACACCAGTTCTTAATCGCCCTGAGTAGCAATTAAAAGAGGATTTAGAATGCGTTTACCTCCCTCTAAATGCAAAATGTTGCTCCAGGAGTAGTCTTTCTCAATGTATATTCTTATCATAGGGACTAAAGTAACTAGTGGCAAGGGCAATATGACTTATTGAAAGCCTTATCACCCATGATAGTTTAGGGAGTAACGAAATCTCAACTCATTCACATCTCTTCGGCTTTTACCAGTGACGCATATATATTTGGTGCCCCTTTGTACCAATATCTGTGTTCAAATAAATCACATGATTCACGCATGATGTCTTCTAATCAAAAGATTTACATAATATACAGCGGTCCATCGTATGTTGCTCTAAGACTGGAACGGTCTATATAGCGGAAATATGCGTAAACTGCAAGTACCTGACCATAGATATCTTCGAAGTATTGCTTATGTATGGTAGTTGTGCCTTAGTAGTTAAAGAACTTTCAACTAGAAAATCGCAGATTCGAACCACGTTTTATCTACCTTTGTTTGCAAAGCCAGTTTGGATCATTAACCAGCACAGTCTCAGAGTATATAAAACCTTTACTTGGTGAATAAGTATGCAGCCATCGGGTGAACAGTGCTAGTTGTACAGGACATTACATGCAAGTAGCAATTCGATTTGTGAAGCTTTAAGTATTCATAGACTGAGTTAGCTAAGATATGCGTTAATTATACCTAACCATTACGTACCTCAACACAATAATGACAGATAATAAGAGGCTGGAGAAAAGCTAGGGGTGCCCAAACCAAAACGTGACGTTACTCCATGAAGTCGTCGACTTTTTATCTGAACCGACTGCTATTTGTGGTTTGAAACATTGGTAGATAGCTCAAAATCGGTCGCTGCGGCACAAATCCATTCATCTTGCATTTTCAGAATATTAGTACTTTTTATTCTGTTTTCATTCTTCCTTTTCAAAGTAAGTTCGCAATGCCTAGTTTTTTATTAACAAGCACTACTACTTCAACCACTTTGCTATTTCATCTTGTCTTTCTAACGTGGTGTAGCACATCTGTCTCAGATTCTACAAAGTTTATGGTTAACGGGTTGACTTGGTATGTTCTAGTAGACTTAGATAAAATGATCGTCTTCATCTCGTTGTCTCTCCATCCTAAGTGTTTTTCTTAAACGGAATTATCAGGTTGTGCAACTTGTATAATCGATTTGTCAAGTCTAGGGTGGAACATCCTGTGGTGTAACTCGAGTGTTTCAACATGTTTAGATCATTAAAATTATGTGAATTTTTGAACAAGATAGACAAGGCTTTATTTGATATCCACGTGACCTAGTGAGCGAAGCAGCATATGCAATAACTCATTCTATTGTTATCTACTGATTCTCAACAGTTGCTTGATATTCTTCACTAACAGAATTAACAAACTATTCATTCTGCTTGATCAGTTATGCTAACCGAAGAAAGTGCTGTAGGTAGGATTTTTTCACAAAATGCATAATTCCAAGTTTTGCACTCTCGTTTGAAGTTAGTTACATTAAATTAAGCGTTTATACTCTGTTTCAATCAAGCGTTGCTCTGTAACACCTTGAGAATCCAGCCGAAGCACTTATGGTATACAACATGTATAAGTCAATGATCCGATAAATCGTTCGTGTTTTCTCCTGATAAAGGTACGTTTGTTTTATAAGTCGATTGAAGTCTGAGTAGAAAGTCCATGTGGAGTCTGAAGTAAACATAATTGCCTGCAACTTCATCCATAACTAAGTCGAGAAAAAGATGAAAGTAAATATTTCAGGCTTTCATCACTGGTTTTCGGTAACTAAATAATTATGTATCGTCCGTCAACTAATATTATACGTTCATGTAAAAGGCAGTTTAGTTATTCGTTCCGTATCTTCTTCATGGACAGACTTCCATAAGACGCCGTAGTCAAAGTGAGATATGGCCTTCTAGTGAAATAATACATCTAATGTGGGGCATCAGTATATATTCTTTTACTTAAAAACAGAAATGATCTATGCTACTAACATTACACCCTCAACCAGGCTAATTTCCGGAAATGTCTCATTCTATAACTAGTTGGGCGTTTGATAACTGTAGGTCCTGGAATTTTAAAAAGTATATTATTCAGACAGCTCCATTTCTGATAATTAAAATCATTCTCCACAACCACCTGTACTTACAATCATCATGTATTTACTAGTGTGGTGTGTGCTACTTATATTGACATAAGTAGTATGTGATGTTTGTCGTGAACAGAAGGTCTGGCAGCAGAGAGACAAGAGGATCGAACAGTAAAGAATGAAAACAGGATGCAATTTGTATGAAAATGCAAGAACAATGAAGTCTGGGTCATTTTGAGACGATTGGTGGACATTTTGCAAATTAAGCATTTACTTTATGATTGTTATATTTTATTAACAAGTCCTGTAATTTTGTGTTAAATACATTCGATTGTCCCCACCCGTGTTCTGTTCACTACACTAGTGGCAAAATTCAAGTAGTAATTGTCGAGATTCTAGCGAGAAAGCGTGACCACGGGGGACCTGACCGTGTTAATCATTTGACAAATATCACCAATTGGAATGGTTGTATAATATTATAAAATGACTGAATTTAGATATCTAAACTGCTGTATCTCAACTCAGGGGTCTAAAAGCCAAGTGCTGTCCGCGTGACCTAAAAGTTGTGGGTTCGATCCCTATCGGGGTCGTGAATGGACTCTTTTTGATCTTTGTTCTAAAACAAAGCAGTTGTCCAATACCTTTTAGTATTTATTAGTTGTCTGACTCAAGTTATTACGTCGTATAAACCTACTTATTACAAAGGTGCTTACTTTAGATTGTATATCAACTTCAATGATGTACTAAATAAATGAAAGATATATTTCAATACGAGTTTTAGTAACATATTACTGTCATTTTGTAGGCGTAAAAAGAACAAACCTGTTTTGCCTCCATCAAAACCTTTGCCAACTCCACCTGGGAAAGAAGAGAAAAAGAAAAAGAAAGGTTAGTCTTCTATGAAGTTTTGTTTCACCTCTTTTTTTCATCAAATAAGAGATCGCTAGAAAAAGCACATTAAGTTTCATTTTTTTGTGGATTGAGTCTGTCATTCTGTATAGAATATTGTTAGTTAACTATGGAATAAATTAATGCTACTTTTAAGATATATAAATATCTATTCATGTGAAACAATTTGCATAAGTGGATGGGAAAAGAAGTTTACTTGATATAAGCATTAAGTTTCCTTTATTGATATCAGCTTCGGTCTGGGCACCCGGACAGTATCACAGCCCACACATAAATCTAATGACTTGTCTGGCGCATATTTATTCGGTGCCCCTTTATACCAATATTTGTGTTCAAATAAATAAATAAACCTTTATTGATAACTAATTAAGACATAAAGGATTGACTATATTTGTACCACTATGACCGACCTGGTCTATATCATCTAGATTCGCAAACCATTGATTTCGGATCTATCCCAGACACTATATAGGAAGACTATAGTTACCTTTGCAGCTCAAATTTTATGCATGGATATCACCATTTCTTGCCACATTTAAGCCTTTCCTATTCTTATTCAGTTGTCGAAACATTGTGGTCGACGGTTGCTAGATCTTCATTGTACCTGTTCCAACCACAGCTTGTAAGTAATAAATTCATCAGTTTCACTCTTTCAGGTAACTGTCTACACCGAATCTCAACACCTGCTTGGTTATCTCAGCACTGGGAATAGTTCAAAAAACGTTGGTATCTATGTTCGTACAACTCTTGAGTGTCTCTCGTTTAGTCATTTCATGTCTTTAGAGTAAGATAATATAGCATAGTACACTTGACTAGTAATAGGCATTTGAATATCTGATTGAGTTAAATAAATAACCAGATTGCATGTTTTTTTATTGTCCTATGCCTGTTATACTATTCCTGGATATTTTACATTTATTGCCTGTGTGAATTATCCCTTTTGTGCATCTTACTTTCATTCAGTATTAAGTAGTCAGAAAAATATTTGGTGTCTATACTACGGCATAAATTGAAACCTAGTTTCACACCATAAACTGTCATTAGTACGAAATAAAACACTTAAGTATACGTTAACATGTTCATGCCGTATACATAGTCTACGTCTGTTCATGAAAACAGACATACCAGTCTATCTAAACTTGATGATATTGAAAAAATAACATATTCAGTATTCTTTTGTTGAAAGTGTGCACATGTCATTAATTTTTCTAGCCCTCTTTCTATCCCACAATCTCGTCTATTCATGCTACACTTGCATATTTCTCTATATTTAAACGTTTATGACTCATCTTTCTCGTTGTTGTTACATCTTTATTCCTTCATTCTTTACTAATCATATATAGTACATCACGGTATATTTATGACATTTATTAAGATTCAGATTCAGATTTGTGTAGTAAGGACAGAAGGCATACGGCCTATGCTATTCCTTTTCTAGTATGCTTCTGTGAGTGTCCAGTCTTCTCTTGAAAGAGTCAATTGAAGGTGCGGACACCACTACCCCAGGCAGCAGGTTCCAAGTATTGATGACGCGGTGTGATAACCTGTATGCCACGGGTATTCTGTTCGTTCTTGGCTTTTCTACTCGCCTGCTATGTCCTCTAAGGTGTCCCGATCTAGTGGGAAGAAAGAGAAAGAATGAGTTAGGTCCGAAATCATTTCTCAGTATTCTGTACATCAAAATTAGATCTCCCTTTAGTCTGCGATAGGACAGAGTAAAGAGGTCCAGTTTTTCAAGCCGTTCTTTGTATGATAAACCCCGGAGTTACGGAATTGCACGGGTAGCTGCCCTCTGTACTTTTTTCTAGTATGTCCGAGTCACCTTTTAAACAGGGGCTTGCAGCCTGAGCGCAGTTCTCTAGCTTATTTCTCACTAAGGATGTGTATACTGTGGTGAACATGGTAGTATCTAACTTAGTGAATGTCCTTTTTAAAGCCTAGAGGGTTCGAAACCCCTTGGCTGCGGCCTCGCGGCAATGGGCCGTCGTCTTAAGATCATTACTCACTGTCACCCCTAGGAAATATTCATTTAGTCTGATTTCTTATAGAATGTGTTGATATTGTGCTTAATAATAAGCCTAACTTGTGAGTATCATCATTAACCTTACAAGTACAACATCAGAGTGGAGTAGAGTGTGATGAAAATGACTAGACGACTTATCATTTAATAAAAACATCACATGTACGGTGTGGAGGATAAATGATAGTCCTAGTAATATCAAAATGCACTTGTTACAGTTTTTTTAATCTCCAGGTTATGTGAATAATCTAAGCTATAATTTCCATATCACGTGATTACACATAAATCATCATCATCCAAGGTGAATTAATATCAGGTGGCTTAGTTGAAAACAATAATTTATCATAATTTTAGCGTGGTTATTGATTATGTTTGTGCGCATCATGAGAAAATAATATGGGAATTTAGCTAAAAGTATTCACTGTGGTCTTAATGAATTTAACTCTGTTTATCTAACACTTCTCATTGTATCCCATGTAGGTGATATTTTCAAGAGACCTATCGATTGATTTTATCTATTTCAAATTTGGAACGGTTAAAGTCAATCTTCGATTGACGCACTAAGATCGATTGAAATCTAGTCAAAAAGTATTAACAACGATGTGACTCAACACTATTATAAACTAAGTTGAATGCGATTTTGAGAATTTATCAGGGTATTAAAACACGATATAGTTGTAGCATTAATATAATAAATATCCTGTATAGTTAGGTAGAAGCACTTTCAAGCCTACTTCAAATAGTATGAGACAGTTATCCTATTTTATCAGTGAACCATAATTTTTCGTAAGAAGAATGTGAAATGTGTACTAACTAGATCGACACTTAGTTGTTTATTACATAATTATCTCAGCAATAAGGAATATTTCAACTATAAGCTCTGTATGCATTTTATTCTAACTGCTTTCGCTCTTTTTTTGTTAAAAATATATTACAGTACCCATGTTTTTTTTAAAAAAATTAATGATTGATCAGTGTTTTTCTGCATGCTATATATCCCCCTATTACTACTATCAGTAGTATTTATAATGGATAGTCCTTTAAGGGATTATCAGTTATCTGATAATGAACTAATGGAAATTAAGAACCTTCCATGTGACTACTTGTTTACACCTCTTTTAATCTTTGTTATATATATATATATATATATATATATATATATATATATATATATATATATATATATATATATATATATATATATAATTGTACTTTTGTGACACGCAGTCTTGTTCACTTAGCAGCCACCTTATAATGTTCATTTTAAAAAAGTCAATGGATTAGTGTCAATTTTCGTATCATTTTTACTTTTTCTATGGATGCATCTCATCTGCAAAAGACAATAATATGTTGCTGATACAATTCTTCTTGAGTCACAACATATGTTAGATGATTAGTGTAGAATTAATGTAACTAGTAAAAGCTATGTAGATTGTTATTATTATTATTATTATTATTATTATTATTATTGTATGTCTCATCTACTTTTGTACATTTGCACATTTCTATTTTTACCTTGTGTGTAACATTTTGTTTCATCTTTTTTTAAAAATCCTGATGTTATAAACGTTTTGAATCGCCAAACTCCCTTAAACCATTGTATGTATCATATAGGTACAAAATAGGTATTTTTCATTTTGTCTGATTTCTGTGGATTCACCCATAATTGAAAATATCAGTTTATCCCGTTATCGATTGGCAGTTATGACAAAAAGAATCTCTGAGTAATTCTCAGTCGTTTTGATGCATATTTGCATCCGCTTATTTGTTATTTTGCTGACAGACAAATACCTATATGCTTTTATCTAACTAGAATAACTACCAAAAAACATATAAATACAGTTAAGTGTGCAGGTAGTGAAGTGTAGGATTCGCAAATCATGTCAAGTATGGGACTCAAACAATCACTTTTTACGTTTTTATAAGTAAATGAACTGTTACTGATTTCCACTTCTTTTATGAATGAATCTTAAATCCAACCTTCTTTCATTGTGAACAAAAGATTCTTTGTGCGTGCGGTAGTTGTGCACATCTATGTAGCAATTATTTCTATTTAAACACATATCAGTTTCTGTACAAATGGCGCTTATTATCACGTTAACGTATCTCAATCATTTATCTAATAAACAATACTTTCATAGATTACATACCGCATTGTCCTCAGCACATTGCCGAGGAGTCCTATACTACAAAAAAAAAACAGTTCAATGCTTTCTAGTTTTCAATACTTGTGTAGCTAAAATCAATACCTGATGCATTCCATGAAAATCCAACAATCTCTACTAATCTATCAGTAACAATACCTTTTTCTGAATCCCCCACAAAAATAAACGTTTTTTTTTGTTATATGGTTAAATTAACTTGTAGATAGGTGATCTTCAATGTTTTTTTACTTACCTAGTGAAAATGTTCCGATTTCCTAAATTTGGTCGATCGGAAAAAACTGAACCACAAATTTCTGGTCCTACAGAAGTTACGCATAACCTACATGTGGCATTTGATAAGTCCACAGGCGAAATCAAGGTCAGTTGACTCACTATTTTTCTATGACTTTTAAAACTGCTTTCAAAGTAGATCTTTGGTAAACAATCACTAATTATTAATATTATATATATATATATATATATATATATATATCATAGCTATCATTGTATTTAATCAGGAGTTTAGATTTCAGTCTTTAGTAAACAAAAAAACATTTTCATGTTCATATATACGTACCGTTACAAATATTCACTTATATGCCATATAAGTTTTGTATCTTTAAAAATCTTACTTATGAACCATGTATGTTTTTTTATGCAATTTTATTTGACAAATCATATGAATCAGCGAACTGTATTTAGTTTAATGTATGAGGCTAGAAATCCGTTTTCGTTTTTATTTTGTTTATGATAGAAGAATACTTTTAGACAGGAAAACTATTTATCGTATGAAATATATTCATCAGAAACATGAAGAAAGTCGCAGAGTGTCTTCATAAAATATGAAAACCATACATTAAATTGCTCATTTGCACACCCATTAATTGTCTCTTGCAAACTCTCTGTTTGCATTTCTGTTCTCTTCAATTTGATCTCAACCTTCTGATACCAGGCATTTCACTTCTAATTGGTGTTACATACTACTTATGTCTGCCAACATAAGTAGTATACACCACAGTAGCGGTCAAGTAGTATGTAGCTAAAAGAAAAATAAAATGTTCCTCTAGTCTGAGTACCTAAATCTGTATATGTATACTGAGTTTTATTTTATCTAGAATTTATGATACAATCGTTGAAATCTGTTAATATTTCTTCAATTAGTTTTACGATTGCAGTGTACTACGTATGTCCGTTATAATTTGCTTAAATTTAATCATAGTAACAAGATGGTTTCAAATTAACTGTAATATAGCCGGGATATTTTAATCTAATTGTCGTGATTGTGTTACTTAAATTAAACTGAGTTTAATGAATTTTAATTATTGAGTCAGTTATTACAAATTAAATCTAATGTGTTAATTTAAAATAAAAATGAGGATTTAATAATATAATGGATATAGAACAATAATATCTTTCCAAATATGTTGTACTACATTTGGGACGAAAATCTGTTGCACATCTTGGTCAATTCTTGCTTTTTACTATCTTAATAAATATGTATCCTTCATTTTACACTCTCCTTGTCTAATGTAATTTATGGCATACAGCCAAATCATGTGGTTTATATGTAGGAAAGAAGTATATTTTTATTTAGATAGTTATTGTTAATTTCATTGTTTTTCTTTCCCATTAAGCTACTTACTAGTCACGTAGGCGAATTGTTGCATAAACAATTTATGAAATAACACAGACAAATACATCCCAAGTGTATATTTCATCCAAGTTAGATCACTTAGGAAACATTATATTTAAGTGAATGATTTAATCATATGTGCTATTATTTTTTCTGAAAGATAACACATCAATTATGTGAATGATTATAAACTAATGTATGCATTACGTTTATTGTTTTTAGTTACATTAAAAAGTATAAGCTTTAGTTACCTACTCATTTGACAAATTGAAACGATTATTTTCAAGAATTAATTGATTGTCGATTGTGTTTGACCTTTTGTTCTATTTTTTTCCTTTCTCCTACTTCCCTTACTAGTTTCACCTTTGCGTCTGTCATACAAATAGTTTTTTTTAATCAGAGAAGGGTTTTTATGGATATTATAGTAGTCCCATACTAGGACGAAACGGTCGTCCAGTGCTTCCAAGTTTTCCATGGTGGTCTAGCTTCAGTTGATTCATAAATTCAACCATTTCGACAGATTTTTCTATATTATTCACCATATCCGTTCGTTTTTTGATATCAAAAATCATTACTATTCTCTTTCTGTATTGACACATGTGATTCAACTAACTTACATAAATACCATGTTATATATATATACCTACTGAGTAGCATTCGTACTGTCATGTAGAAATACACTGAATCTAACTACTTATTTCCACTGTATATCACAAGAAATCCTGAAGAAATAAACCTGATCATATATATTTTTTCTCTGGTAAATTTCTCAAGTATAAAAACAAAAAAATGCACCAACTGAAGCATTGTACACCAAAATCTTCACAGCCATGGATTATAAACAGAGTTGTCAAGAAAAAAAAATCAGTTCAAAACTACAAAAAAATGTAGAAAAAAGAGAATTAATACATTTCCGTCATCTTGGTTGTCTAAATAAAGATTACAATTACCACGACTTTTTCATCTTTCAACTCACTGGTTAACAACTTCATGGATTGATGATGCTATATTCAGCCGTTTCTGTATGCTTTTCAATTCACTTGTGTATGCGTTTTAGCTATTGAGAATAAAACTAGTATTCAAATTTATTGGTTACTGCTACCGACTATGGCTAAAGTGTTTGCTTTTTTCCCCAACTTTATTCTCTTTATGTTATTTATACATAATTGTATATGTTTAATTCATTGGCTTAATTGTTAACTGTTATCATTCTAATAATATCTACATTCATTGAGATAAATGTTATTTATACATAAACAAATATTTTATTAGTAATAAATGTTGGACCTTGATTTACAACTCATTTATATTCAAACAAGACATAATTAATTTCATGATGTCTTTAAATGTCATTTATTAGGTCCAAATTGTTTAAAATTACTTACCACTTACTGAGCTGAAGTGAAATTTAGTGTTTGATTATGCTTCATTATATCATATTTCTAGTGAAATTTATCATTGGTAAAATCTGTAAATTTTTAAATCTAACAGTATTCCACTTATTAGTCTACCGATTCAGTTATTCTCAACAATAGGAATGAAGAAACAACAGAACATATTTCGGTCAACTCGGAAGCTAAATATATATATATATATATATATATATATATATATATATATATATATATATATATATATATACGAAGTTAAGGTGCAGAGCAGATACATGAAGTGTTTTGGCCAATATTCTGTCAATTAATTTTTAAGAAAAATATATATACGACTGACCATTTAATCATAGTTTTTCTATCTTTTCTTTGTTCGTTGTATATATCTAATTTTTAAATGTCACTAGATATTAAATCTAATAAGCATCATTCTATGTCCTCAGATAGAAAATTCTGTTGTCTTTCTCTTTTTCTTATATATTTAAGCGTCTAATAACATTTTATTTTATAAAAAATAATTTACAATAATATGAAGTCTATCTGAAATTTTCATAGAGAAATACACGTGTCTGTGAAGTCGTAAATCAGCCACGTTGTTGTATATTTGTTTGTGTCTGTACTTTGATAATAGTAATAATATAAAATGATTGAACTAGTTTCGTCATTTCTTTCTTGGCTTGCGTTTTATTTTCTCTTATTGACGTTGATTTTTTACTTTGTTGAAATGATTAATATGGATTGTGTTCAACATAACATAACATATATGTATATAACATTGTGCTTGTGATTTTTTAGGGTCTTCCTATTTCATGGCAGATGCTTTTAACAGCATCAAATATATCACGAACAGAACAAGAAAAGAATCCAGAAATCCTTCTTGGCGTACTACAATGTTTTGATGAATCGGCTAAACAGAAAGATAAATATATGACAAATGTGTCTGTCATTACAAGTACGTTATTTCGTTTTTTTGGTTTAAATCTGAGGTCTAGAAGGAAGTCGTTGCATAAATTTTGGTACATTCATTATTTCCTACAGGTGACCAATTTAATGGTCGTGTAGACAATTGGTCATTGATAAAAAAATGACGTTTTTGTTGTCTTGCCACAGTACATTGTCTGTCAATAAGTTGTTTATTGGTATATGGGTTTGTGGAGAGCTTTCAGTCTCCATAAATCACATCACAGACTAATCTTAGACCGTCATTGAGAACCAGGAATCACCGGAGAGTTGTTTCGTCATAGTGTGGGATTTTTACTCAGTCTTCATCCACGACCCCATTGGTGGTTGCTTTCACTGAGAGAGCTCAACCTTTAGACTTTTGAGTCGGCATTCAGTGGTTCACAGTTTTAACTTTCATCTGTCTGCGATATTGCACTATCATCTTTCATTGCATATGAACCGGAATTCGTGGGTTCGATCCTTGGTGGTGCTGAGGAGCCCCATTCTGGGACGAAAAACTCGTCCACTACTTCCTGGTCCCAGTGGTGGTCTAACCAAGATCAGTTCGTGATGTAATTTGTCTAAGTGGTTTATTGTTGATACTAAATTAGAAATCATTCCAAGTTTTCCTCACACAGCTTAATAAACAGTCTTAATAAAAAAATGCATCACATTCAAATTAATAATGAAAGATTTTGTGTTCTTTATAAACACCGATTTAACCATATAAAAAACTCAATACTATTATGAAATCTAATCAATACTGAGCTGGACGGGTTTACTTATCAATGAATATTGATGTGATCTTATCCATGAGAAAGAAAATTTTATACAATAACATGAAATCTATTTTATTTCGACGCTTCTGTTCAGCTACCAAGAGACGAAAAGTGACTAGTCCAACACTCAGCCAATGGATTTATTATCCCTATTTGGGATCCAGGAGGTCAATTCTGCCAACGTAGGTACATTCACTTTAAGCACACTTTCTATTCACTCTTTAGTTAACCTCTATTTCTTCCAACTCTCCATTGTTATTTGCTATTTTCAACCACGTGGTTCTCTGTTCGTCTATTTTTTTCCACATTGCTCTTATCTAAATTTGGGAGATTTGAGTCGATACACTTTTCTCATTCTGTATGATCAAACTCTGCTTATCACACGTATTTAATCATAATTGGTGAATAAATAAGTGTAATCACAGAAGTGTACACACTAACTAATTACAAATTTATCATAAGTTCAACAAAGGATCATTTATACCGTACTGTTTATCGCTTCTTTAGGTACTGTTCACTTCGTAGTACTGTTTGTTCATTCTGTTCTTCCATTTCACACGAAGTAATTGCTTTTTAAATTTAGATTCCTCTGGCTCCGTTGAATCGATGAATTCCAACTCCCGCTCCTGCTCAGTTTCCTCTCAAAGTATGCCAATCGCACCAGGTCATTGCGACATCAGCTATTTACATTCGGGCTCCTATCAATCTGCTTCATTTAATTCTACGACATTATCATCTGCACCTATTTCAGCGGAGGAAAATAATTTAATTATGTCAATGGCTGAAACTAGTTTAACAGGAATGACAATAATTTCCAGTGCTTTACCGGCAACTACACATTCTTGTGCGGGTAGCAATAGCAGCGGCCGTGGTAGCAGTTGTACCACTAACAGTGGCAGCGTTGGTGGTCGTGGTGTAAGTGGTGGTGTTCCAAATGGTTTAAGCGCTGCAAGTTTAGTAGAACTAACTTCTAATCACACTCACATGTGTCCTTCAGGGTCTGGAAGAAGAACAAGCACAGGAGGTGCCGTATTTTTGGGTGGTATTAGTCCAACCCGTACATTTGGTGGACGTGCAAGTGGTTCGACAATTCCTGAAATGTCTCCAGCACTTGGGAATCATAGAAGCATTAACAATACAGGAGATATCGCTCGTTCTGGGCCAGACTCCATGATATCAGCGAATTCAGGAACCCTTACAAATGGACAACTTCTCAATCATAGCCGTCATGCTAGAGATGCCAATTTAGCTAGTGATAATCATAATGGTCATTCAACTGTATCTGTTCCTGCTCTTCCAATTACATATGATGTTAGTCTTGGTGAACTTAGCAGCAGTCGGTAAGCTATTCAAGTGGTATTTCATACACCAAGAGCCATTTTGTGAACTTCGAATCCCTTGTCCTCTTTTAAATTAGTGGTCATATACTCTATGTGTTGACCTGGTTTCTCAATAAAATAATTTGAGCAGCAAACGAAATGTTTAAAATATAGTTTGCTACAAAAGAAACGTTTCTTCAATTTAGAATGTTTTAAATACAAAACAGTTTAGCTAATAAGTTTGATAGCATTATATAAAACTTGTATAAATTATGAATTTTGACCAGTTAGTTGGTTATTGAAGAATAGTAATAAGTTTTAATCCCAAAAATCGCTAAAGTAGGACCTTTACTACTCATATGTTCATTAGTTCTGTTTTTTGGAACCAGTTGTTATTTATATTAATCTCTCTAAAAGTATTACATCATTTGCAAGGTTCTAATCAAGTTTTTCTTTTCAAATATTTTGTTTTATCATTTTACAGTAGCAGTGGTTGTTCACTATCTTGCTCTGGTGCTAGCGGAAGTGTCAGTATTTCTGGTTTAGCAAGTTCAGCTAGTATGGTTGGACATTTATTTGGAGGTATAAATAGTAATGAGAACAGTCCTACAAGTATTCTTCCGCCTAGTATGTTACCATCTCAATCACCGTTACCACATAACAACTGTTGTTCATTTGTCTCCTATCCACCATCATCATCACCACCGCCTGTTCCACCTCATGCAACTACTGTCGTATTAAGAAATTTAGATTTTTCTGAAAGTTGTACAAATAATTTTGAAATTAGTAGTGTTAAAGAAGAAGGTACTCTACGGCATACATCTTCATTTCATAATACAATCTCTGAATCATCTACATGTTTACCATTTCATGGAGATAGATTAGTTCCAGAATCCTGTATAATGGTCGGAGAATCTTCTTCCGATGAAGAAGAAGAGGATGAGGATATTGAAGATGAAGATCACGAACAAGAAGAGTATGAAGAAGATGAGGAGTTAGGTGAAGATGAAGAAGAGAGCGAGAACGAACAAAGTGAATTAAGCAATAATGAAATAACTACATCTCAGGCTACTGTTGAATGGATGACAAGCAGTGGAACTTGTAGTAATCTACCTACTCCAATGACTATGTCCAAGGTATACTTAGTAGCGAATAAATTGTACATTTTCTAAAGTATATATATATATATATCTTTTGTCTTGTATATTGTATCGTGCTAGTAGTAAGGTTTATTATGTTTCTTTCCAAGGATGTGGCTTGTTTTGTAAGACAGAACCATTCTGTAAACTGTATGGGCGAAATGAAACTAAATGTCTTGTTCTCATAACATTGCTTATTAAACATATTTTTCATTATTTTTACATTGATTTCAACTTCTGAAATGAAGAGATTCACAAATTTCAAATCTTAATATATATGACTTCCCCAACATTCATATCCAGATTCTATGTCCTACATATAGCATCTTACAGTTATATAGTATTATTTGACCATATGTAGAAATGATTTTATAGTATTTATTAAATAACCGGGTAAGTAAATAAACTCTTATCATATGACATTTTATTGATAATCAGAGTTTTCTTTATACTTTCTAACCATTTTTACAAAATGTATTACAGGGATCTGAAAATGGTGTTACCAGTGAAGCTTTTGATAATCGGAATGGTGTACTCGCTTCAAACAAAACAACATCAACAAATAGTGAGAATATACCAAATTTGGTCAGTACTAGTAAGTAAATTGAGTAAATTTCAGTATGGTTTGTCATCAAATTTACCCGTCCAAATCGATGACAGTAATAAAATATGTGTGTTTTCATGCGTAGGTTTTAGTTACTATCTTGATTCACAATTACTGACCCCTCCCAATACATACTTATATACCTTAGTTGTGGAGGTTTCGACAAATGTCTTTGGATTTAGGGAAAACTAATTATTCACATTTTAGTCTCTTAAATCATAGTATGCTAACTATAATTGCATTTTCCTATGTGCCTATATCAATCTATGAATCTGCTTATTCCTCATAGGTAAAGATAGTGGGACATCGAAGATCATCCAGTCATCAACTTCCGATAGAAATGTTCCACCAGCTGTTCCAGTCAAACCACAGGGTTTAACACATGTGTTTCGCACACAACAGCAAACTAAAATACACCAATCTCCTCATTTCTTCCCACATCAACCGCCTACAAATAAAATAGATTCAAGTAACACTCCTACGATTACAACAACTACCACTTCTGCTGCTGAAGATGTAGCCAAATCGACTACACCTAGTGCACCTAGGCGTCGTACTGGGAATCATCGATTAACAGATCAGCAGGTACATGATAAATTAAGAGCTATTGTAAGCAAAGGTGATCCATATCAAAAATATCGTATGGTAGATAAAATTGGTCAAGGGTAAGTTTTTTTTGACAAAAAACTTATTTCCTCTTAATTTCTTGTCACTTCAAGTTTTCGTTTTCTTAGAGTAGAACAGCTATTAGTTTTTTGCTTAGTTCTGAAAATGTAGGTTCCCCTAGGTCTAATTATCGTAACTTGAAGGCTGTTTTAATAATAATGAGAATAGGACAGTAGATTCAAATTACTAAACAACAACAACTATTGGATGAGCCATGAGCTGCCTTTATTATCTCTGAGTTATTGATACTTCCACATCACTCGAATCCTTTTGAGTCGAGTGCTTAATTCATTTGATAATCAAATACTTATATCGTTTTAATATCAATCTACTTAAACTCTACTATACTCTCACTTATGGATAAATAATTGTAATTATAGATTCTGATGAATAAATATGGGCAGTTTTCTCGATCCTACCACATTTGCTGCTATCAATGAGAACTTTTAAAAAATAAGTTTTGTGGTTATTTAAAATAAGTGGATTATGGCTAGAAGTGGAATGCAAAGATACTTGTGTCCTACTTGGGACTCGTTCACTACCAACCACAATCCGTCTGTTCTAAATAACTTGTGTCATTATATGCCGAAGGAATCCACATAAATGTATATGTACCAACAAAACTGATCAAAGTTCTGTCGCGAATATTAACAACGAGATAACTCAATCCTTTACTAATAATGATATCAGTTGTGAGATTATTTGTACTTTTAGAGTAGTATATCCCCAAAATAAAAAGTTCATTGGTTTCTCTAAAAATGAATTGCATCATTTTGCACTACCATAGAGAGTAGTTGAAATCCGAATTTCATACCATACTCTATTTCAGGACTTATTGAAGTGAATAGATCAGTAACGCAGTGTATTCAGTTAGCTACGCGATGTACCATTTTGATTTATTTATTCCGAAATTCATTTGGGGCTTTTTGTACTATAGTTAATACGCATCTTAACCTGAGGTTGGGGGAAAATAACTGTAATTGGAAGTACCTTTACCATATAATCATTTTAATCCTGCCTTTATTTACTACAGTTCAAATCATCTCTTATGTTTGTGAGCATTAATAGTTTAAAGTTTTCAAATTCTAAATGGCCTGTCTCTCCGATATCATAGTTGATTTGTACATAACTATCTAGTTAAATGATCACTTCAGCTAATAACAAATCATTTCAATTAAATAGGTGTACTATCGTTAGTCATTAAGTAAAAATCTTGAGTTCCCTTGTTATTTAATTTCTTAGAATAAGGAATACCGACTTTCTTGTATATCTTATCTAGACCATATTATGTGGCTTGTTTAAACTCGAAGTAGTTAGTGAGGCCAGGTCTTAACTTCCAACCTAATGGTTGAGTATTTTAATTATCAAATCACCTCACCACAGGACTATAGTTGATGGTTGATGAATTTTGCCAATCACACACTATATATTATGGCTCGGAATTCTCCACAATGACTCACTTTCACTTCTTGCCTTCCCATAAAATCTGGGGATTTGTCCTGAAATAATTTTATCTCGCTGTGCTAATATGTTATAACAACTTAAATCAATGTACATGTGTATCAGGCTCTACGTTCCGTATGATGGACTGACATAAAATAATTATTATATTCTTACTTGACGTAGTTTGTTTGTCAATGAATTTACAATTTCACTTTACATGGTGAATATATCATAAGGCATAGATTACTATCTCATTCCTATTTTTTTTTTTTTGAAAAAAATTGTCTCGTTGTTTTTTCAGGGCATCTGGTGTGGTATATAGTGGATATGAGATTGCCACTGGCAGTTTAGTGGCTATTAAACAAATGAATTTAGCTCAACAGCCTAAAAAAGAATTAATCATTAATGAAATTTTGGTTATGAAGGCTAATCGTCAAGCAAATATTGTAAATTATCTAGACAGTTATTTAGTGTCCACTTCAGTCTCTACCAATATGGATCATCATCAGCATTACATGAACGGTTCAAATCACAAGTACCAACAATCAACTCACAAGGATGATAGCCTCAATTCATCAACAATTAGTTCAGGCAATTCATCTAAAGGTGAAGAACTATGGGTTGTCATGGAGTATTTAGATGGTGGCTCACTGACCGATGTTGTCACTGAGACGTGTATGGAAGAAGGACATATTGCTTCAATTTGTCGAGAGGTAAGCTTGTGAAAAGAAAATATCTGCTTGTTAAAACTGATTTCGTTGTTACCACTATTATTACTACAACACCGTTGGTGAACTACTTAATAATTCAAACGGTTGTAGATGTAAATCTTTTACAGCTAAATCACTTAAATATTTCAAGAATAGCTTAGTGTTTCTGACTTGTCCAATTACACGTCTGAATAGCACTATTTACCTTGAGTCAACAGCTAAGTCCCTATTAGTCTGCTAGCTCCTTTCTATGCCCATCCTTTGAATTCAAAATTCACAACCAGCTTCTACTACAATTATATTTCAGACGGACATGGGTTATATTCAGACAAACCGGACCACATCACATTATAAAATAAAAAATAACAGTTTTACATAGACAAGTCAAAAAGTCTGTGATTAGCGTAGACTGTAAATAATAAACCGGCAACAATATAGGGATAGTAAGTCGTATTACAGTAGTTTACGGGTTAACCGGAAGCTTTTAATAAACGGAACACACGTACATAGTAATCTAGTTACTCCGTAAATTATACAACGAAGCTATAATACATAACAATTCCAAAAGCCAGTCCCAACATTTACAATATATGTTCCGTTATAGCATTATACATATAAACAACTCTGATCGGTAGGTGTGAATTTTTCTGAGGGCTAAAATAAACTAGTTGTTCAATTCAGATGTGTGCAGAATTCTAGAGTGATATTTTAATAGGAAGCTATTTTGTACTGTTGAAATAGTTTCATAAAGTTATTTCAAGATTTTTAAAACTGAGTTCAGGAACCTTGTGGTTGATAAATTATTCACATTATCAGCTGATTATGATAGAACATAGTGCAGAACCCAAAAAACGGATGCATTGTGGAATTCGTTACACTTTCCATTGACAGATGTGTACAGAATTTCGGAATGAACAAGAAGAAAAATAAACAGATAGACAACAATTTATATACATAAAATGTGCGTAGATTTTTTCCCAGGGTTAGATGTATATATTTTCCAATTTAATCGATATACTTATCACTGCATTTATTTATGTCCTCATATGAGTGTTTTTATATACCCTTTCCGATAGGCTGTCTTGTCGTTTTTGTCTGTCTATTCCTTATTTTGTTCCAAATATTAGCAAATGTCTCTTCGCTCTCTCTCTCCCCTCACTTTTTTAACTTCAGTTTTAAGTTTTTGTTATCGTATCTATTGCTTATCTATCCAATCCATGTTTTAGTCTTACTACTCTCTTCTGGCTAAGTGTGTGTGTATGTACTTATTGCCTTAAGGCCATTATGCATTCGTTACTCCAGCTTGCAATGTGTCAGCGAATAGACCCGATAAAATATGTCCTTAATTTTTGCTGACCTTTTAGTTTTTCTTCTACAAAACCCATTCATTATGAGCAGAGTAACAAACTCGGGTCCCTGCTATACTATCTGTAGCTTACTAAAACAGTTCCAATAAACCTTTCGATGATGGACTTCAGTATTTATGAGAATTACTGAGTATAATAAAAAAAGACAGTAGGTGTATATGGATAACTCAGTCTATCACCAACAGTTATTGATTTAGTTTTCTGTCAGATAATGAGCTCCAACTATAATTGACAACGTTTTATTCTTAAATTTAACAGATTGATCCATTACCTATCTATTGATATGTTCAAGAATTGTTTTGTTTCCTTGCCTGTTAAATATATTTAAAAATCTTTATCTTATATTTGACAAAGTAGCAATCATATTCTTTGGTATTTTAACCAATGTTTAAATAAATCAATGAGTTCATTTCATCCATCGTTCTTTCCTTCAAATATATTCAACGTTGTATCATCTATAATTGCCTTAAAAAACAAATGGAAATTCTGTACCGATATAAGGAAACATATTTACTTGCAGTTGCCTAGAGGGAGTTATCTGAATATATACTTTCCCTACGATTTTGACAACGGAAAGAACAATTAGAGAAAAATCAGTTGGTATCACATCCGAGTTTTTGAATTTTTTTCTTTATCCTTATCAATAAATATATGTATCTACATTGTTTCTATAGTTATGTTGATGCAAGTAATTTGTTTTAGTACTGACTTGTGTACTAGTCAGTGTTATACTTATTTTATTCAGTATGGGGCTTTGGAGATTGCTGAATTTCATTAAAATCATGAACTGATCTAAGTTAGTTCACCAGGAAGCACTGGACAGCCGTTTCGTCATAGTATGGGAAATGGAAGATGGCCATGAGTTGGCTGTGATTAGTCATTAATACCGTGATCTGGAGGTTAAGCGCGAGAATCCAAAGGTTCTGGGTTTGACTCTCGCGTGCAGGCTCATGGACGCGTATACCGGGACGAAACGTTCAGCCAGTGCTTTTAGGTTTTTAATGGTTGTCTTAGCTAGGCCTGCTCATGTTTTACAAAAGTTAGGTAAAATTTCTACATTTCTAAACGATCTCGTGGAATGATGAAATTCAACTACTTAAACCACAAGAGCACTACCGTGTTTAAACTGGTGTTAAATCATGATCAGAAGTCGCATTGCGTATATTTTGATCTGAGCGACCAACAGAATTACATATGTCAAACCCTCACATGTTGACCATATATTGATTAAGTAAACCGCAGCATTTTATGTTTACATACATCCTGGTGTTGTTGACTCCTACATTGTAAGGCGGTAGTAACATTATTGACAGACAGCATATATTCCCATCACATATAGTCTTGATGATTATAATAACATTTATTAAAGTACCATGTACGTATGCATGTATCTATCGTATTGTTAGTGAATATTTTCAATTTACTTTTTTATAATAGGATTAAGAAATGAAATGTAATTACTGTTAAGGATAGCTACGAATATGAAAACACTGAATAATAGTCGGCGGTAGTTTGATGTCTTAAAATGATTTCAATGTATTTACCAATGCATATCCTATCCCATATGTGTGTGTTCGCATATGCTTAAACTTCGTATTTTGTACCAATCACTCTTTCTAATATAAGTTGTTGAAATTCAGTGCACTGGATTTTCGTTATTTTATCCTAGATAGAAAAATGTTTTCTTTACTCTGTTATTTTTTTGTTCGAGTAATTTGATAAATACAAATGGTAATTATTATCAATGCGAGTTTACGAATGTTCACTAAATATGCGAAGTGGGGAGGTTATTAAATCATGATCACCTGAACGACGTCGGATATTTAAAATTATTTATTGTTTTCTTTATAGATCAAATTAGTCAACACAAATTATTTTTTTACACTACATCACTTGTCATGAGAGTAACTAAATAATTCCAATCGTCAATCCAATGTGAAGTATTACCGTATAATGTACATTTTGACTTTTGTTTATTATATTATCCCTAATAGATACTTCATGCCCTTGAATTTCTTCACGCAAATCGCGTCATTCATCGTGATATCAAATCAGACAATATTCTTCTTGGAATGGATGGATCTGTAAAACTGACTGATTTCGGCTTTTGTGCACAATTAAGCAATGATGGAACTAAACGTTCAACTATGGTTGGCACACCGTATTGGATGGCACCAGAAGTTGTTTTACGTAAACAATACGGTCCAAAGGTGGATATATGGTCATTAGGTATTATGGCCATTGAAATGGTAGATGGTGAACCACCCTATCTAAATGAAAATCCTGTTCGAGTAAGAATATATTGTATCCTGTCTATATAAATATAGTCACTTGTTTGTAAGATGTGCACATGTATATTAGTTCAGAATTATTCATTCAATTGTCTCATAGTTATGTAGTATCATTTACAATAATTCTCTTGTAAATTCCCTACAAATATTCATATAATACAATTAATCATAATAATTATCAAGTCTGTTCCAATGAACACTGAACTTGAAAGGATTTCGTTAGTGAGTGAACATGTAAAAAGAAAGGTCAATCAAGATTCCTACTGTGCCATGGTTTCGTTTCATGTAATATATTTTAAGGACATTGGATTATTTGTTCGTTAAAAACGTAACCAGAGAATCATATTGAGCCTGTTAGTCGGTGCAAATATTCATTCTACAGTACCACCCTTTCTTATGGTAGTTCCCAGTGTATATGCTTCTCAGAGACTTTAAAAGTACCATATATCGGCTTTAATTTTAAATACAGCTGAATAGTTCACATTTGTTAAGTTTCCTATTGATACAGCTGACAAGTACTAGGCTTAACATTCAGATCTTAATTAATTGGAGAATGAGTAACATGTAAACTGGTTTCTTCCAATCAACTCTGACATTCTGTCATGTTTATTTTGTGTTCGTAGTCTATGTGTAAGCAAGTAATCGTATAACATAAAAAACCTATTGTTCTGGGTAATGGTGATTTTAAATCATACATGGGTTTCGTCAGTGATATAGCCTCACAATCAGTCGTCACTCGATCACATTTCTGTCTATCAATCGACATTCTTTCATTTTAACAACTAAAAACTCGTCCATAAAATCACCCAAAAAATCTTAATATTTATCATTCAATGTTAAACATATCATACTGTTTATGCATTGTATTCCAACAATTTGTTCAACAGTTATCATTGATTTTCACATTCTCGTGTTTTTCTTTTACATCAACTATATTTTAGGCATTGTATCTTATCGCTACCAATGGTAAACCGGAAATTAAAGAACGTGATCGCTTATCAAGCACATTTCTTAATTTCCTCGATCGTTGCCTAGAAGTGGATGTAGAACAAAGGGCTACGGCGAATGAATTATTACAAGTTAGTCATTTTTAATTTATTCCAAATACCGGTTCTTTGTACTCCAGTTTAAACATGTAAATTTCAATCATAAATTTAGTACGACGTATATATATATATATATATATATATATATATATATATATATATATATATATATACTGCACAGCAGGACGATAATCCTTTACTTAATAGAATTAATTATTTACTCATTATTTCTCATGCTGATAATCCCTCTGTACATTCTAGTATTACGTACTACAATACTCGTGAAAAACACATTAGTTTTGTCTATTTTTAATATAAATCTCTCATAGTTTAATACATTGATAACTTCTTTTGTTTTGAAGATATATTCCTTTAATTGTGTTTTCTTGTTTTTTATCTGTCTTCATAGCATCCATTCATATGCAGATGTTCTAAACCATTGAGTTCATTGATTCCACTGATCAATTTAGCCAGAGAACAGAAATAATTTAACCCCTGAATCTCAATACAGAATCAAGAAAACCAATTAATTTTTGTATATTGTTTCCTAAAAAAAAATCTCTTTTCCTCAAATCTCTTTATTCTGTAATCACAATTCATTTTTACTCTCTATAAATGCATATTATAATATTAATGATTCATATTACATTAAACATATACTCTTAAAAAGTAGTAATAATAATATTCACAAACTATGGTTATCAATAATGATGAATAAATCTAATCTACTCATTTTGGTTCTATTCACATTTAAATATTCACCTATTATTGTATTACATTTTGAAGTCATAGTAATTTTTCCTGTGCTGTTTCCTTTTCTCTCTCTCTCTCTCTAACACACAGAAAGTACAGCCATTCACTTGATTGTACATTACAGTATTTAATCATAGTACCGATTATGTTTTTTTATCAAGGTTAATACCACTTACTCGTGTTTGTTAAGCTTTCCCATTCACTTTTCTATTCTAATATAATTTTGTTTATAAGTCAAATTATTAACAAGTGTAATATAATAAAAAAAAGTAATAATAATACACTTAGGAATCACAATTAATTACTTAATAATCTCTTTTTAATTAATACATCACTCAAATGAATTAATGTGAACATTCATAACCATCCATTGGGTTTTTTTTCTTGAATTTTACACATATATGTATTCTATGTGGTTTTAAAACACAACTATTCGCTGTCTTTATACTCACACATTCATCCACTCACTGTTTATCTTCTCGTTAATTGTCAAGTTTTATTTTTATTGCTCACATTATTAAACACATAATGATTCTTTTTTCTCTGCTCTTTTCTTTCCGTCAAATATGTTTACATACATGATTTTGTAGGGTATTAAATTTCGAGTATGTTTTTATTGCTTATTCTCAATTTCATTGTCATTTGTACACAATAGATCTGATTTATCTGGGTTGACTGGCCAAAAGAAGAATAGAACACATTGAAAAACAGACATTAGGTTTTAACTATTTAAGCGCCTTTTTTCTCTTCGAGTAACAATAGTATGTTACATTTAAAATCTTTCACTGATTAAACTGGAATGAAGAATACACTTCTACATGTAACAGTTAGTCACTAGTGAATATCTCATTGCATTGATTATATATGTGTTAGTGTATTTTTATGTGTACACGTTATACTGTGTTCCAACCTTCATACATGCATACTTTATTCTTTTAATTTACCATTCCCAGTATCTCGCCAATTTTCAAGGGATATTTCTCATACATACAGTAAATAATTAAAAAGACGAACAACTGATTTACTGCTAATGATTTATTTTCAAAATTATCTGCATTTTGTGTACATCTATGTGCATGTGTTCGTGTACTGCCATTGTCTACTGTATACTCTTAGAAATTTACGTTACTCCATATAAATATTATTCTCATCAATTTTCCCCTTTTTTATGCTGATCTATTCCAGGATAGTTATTAAGCCTATTTGAATATGGTAAATCTACTCCATGTATGTATATGAAGTACTTCATTATTTATTAGGCAATCATTTAATTATAAATAATATTCTCGTCTCCCGGTTTAGCTATTTATATTAAATTAACTACTCAAGTGGATTGGAGATGTGGGTGTATATCGTTAACACCTGTATCATCAGCAAAACTAGTCTTAATGAATTAATGCAAATAAATGAGTTATATATTCACTGTTCTCAAATTTTGTTACTCTTATGTTCTGTCATAATTAATGAGACAATAAACAGTTGAAAAAGAATTTATCTTCGTAGAAATCGTTGGCGTCATAGTTCTGATCAGTTACTATTGTCATTCACATCATTATTCGCAAAATCAGTCAGTTAACATTGCTGCTTTGAAAGTTTACCTCTAATTGTGTTTCTAACCATCTTTTTTCATTCATCTTCACTTGCGCATTTTCATTATAATCATCTATGTGTATTGTTGACATACAGAGAATCTTTGTGTTGTTTTGTCATAATTCTTCAAAATAAAGCTTATGCTGCCTTTTCATTTCGTTTTTCTTTTCATGCTTGCTTTACTATGTTGCTGTATACACCGCAGTTTCTTCTCTATATAAATAATACATTTGATTATTACAATCCTTTATGCTGAATTTTGTTTTATGTATTTTTCTTTTTGCTTATTCTGCTTTCGTTAATATGATGGTTATTGTTGCTTGAATACATGTATTTGTTGCCGATAAGCGCACGAAATGTTTTTCCTTTATTTTTTACTATTCATTCTCGGACTCATCATTCTACATCTGTATATGTGTGTGTTGGCATGCGTCACATTCTATTTCATATTGTTGATGGTGGCGATAATAGTAGTAATGGGTGTTTTTGTTTTTTAACTTAGATTTCTTCGGCTTCTTTATCTTTCGGAAAGGAGAGAAGTTGTCAGTAACTACTCGCTTTTCATTATGCATCATTGTACACTTCTTTCTACCACGTTGTACTTGTTTGCTTGTTTCAACTGAAGATCATTGTTTTATGCTGCGAGTGGTGTTGCTACATCGCTTACTTACTACCAATTAAGTGTAAGTACTATGACAATGACAGCTTCTACTTTGTAATGATCTTTTTTATTTTTTTCATTTGTGTTTTTCTTCAACTTTTTATTTGTTGTTTACTCTTCGAAATGACACACATTATATCTACAAAATACCTTTTAAAAAAACTTACTGGTATTGTTTTATTTTTAGCCTTAATTATCCATGAGTATACCTGTTTTTTGTTCACAGGCAGAAAATGAATTTATGCCACCTGTTTTTGGATTAAACGAGATTAATTCAGTGTTATATTGAGGCCTTAATAATAAACTAACTTGATGATGATTGTATTCATGGCCAAAATAATAGTGAAAGTATTTACATGAATAGTGTACTAACGAAGTTCATCAACTTTGTATAACCTCTATTTGAACACTATTGGTCGAGTTAGAGCTTATGAGGAAACTGGAGTAGTGACCGTCAAAATAACTACTTTCCCCGCTTTTATTTAACCCTGTTATAGACATTCCTTCAAAGATGACGCTTTCATCATCTAATGTCTCGGCGGTTGATCTGCTCCCAGGAGATCCACCTGTTGATCTAGATTACCTTAAATAACAATCTAACCGCTCCTGGAATGCGATTCTCACCCTCTATATTCCGAATGTTATTTTAGAACTAGTCTGTATCAACGCCTTAACCGATGTTAACAATGTCATCAACCCTAGTGAATTAGTGTTTGACAAAATCTCAGCACGGATTCAGGAAGTTCGATTGGTTTATAGTATAGGTGAAATTTCCAATCTGCCAACCAAGTGAGTACTAGATAAAGATGGCAAGCCCATTAGTGAGATAGTAAGCTTTCATCGAGATCAATATACTTAGCCACCTCCTACCTCGTTGGGTGCTGTTGGTCGGAAAATAGCCAGGTGTCGATCAAACTATAAATTATAAGGCACAAAGTTATTAACAATTAGGCTGAGCAAATAAAAATTACATTAACATAAGGAATAACCTAAGTGAGTCGATACCATTCCCTTGTAATTCTAACTGGTCAGTACATTATGCCAGAATATTCATGTGGTTGAAACCAATGTATCATCTGTATTAAAAGGGGCAATCGCTATGCAGTAAATAGTCAAAGTTATTTTAGTCTGTCATTTGTACTCGATTCTGCTATATACATTTACATATAGAATCTTTTAATCAAATCTGATCACAGTATTATGTATGTATGTAAGTGTGCGAAATCAGAATATTTCAACTTTTCATGTACTTTGATTGATGAAAAAAACATTCCGTCTTTATTATAATAATATAACCTAGAGATATCTGATTCTGATTTCTCGAACAAGATAAAAATAAGCAATGGAACTTTGATAATCAGGAATTCAAGGAAAGGAAAGTTCATGCTCTATATATTCACTACTGAAACATTTTATTCGTGGTGTTATGAATAATAGATATTCTCCAAACAATGTATGCTTTATATTTTGATATTAAGGATAAAACGAAGAGATTGGTTGTTTTATTCACATGTTTGCCTATGTTGCATTATTTATTCCCTTCTATGTGAATAAAAATCATTAAAAAGATAAATAATTCAATATTGTGTTAATTAATTGACTCTTAAAAAAACTTCAAATTTAGTTCGTGAATACTTTATTTTACAAAATTCTGAGCACAATAATCTCACTTCCTTTAATACATTTCCCATTTGTAATAATACACTTAACGTATTTACGTTCCTAAATTTTAAGACATCTTTCAAGGTTACATTCGCCAATAGTAAACAATCAAGGCATCACATGAAATTTTAACAAAAATAATAAGGTCACCTAATGAATACATTGTTTAAACACTAAACTAGTATTTCACATTCTCACCAGTCAAATTATGATTGCATTATAATCTTTAATTATATAAGTAGAATGTATGATCTAATTCCTTGTTTAGTTATATTATTAAATCTCTCCATAATTGAACCCTAGAAAAATTCACTTCAAAGTTAATCATTAGTGAGGATATGCTTCTGAATTACCAAGATCTTTAGTTAATATATATTTTCACAGTTGAAATCATGGATCGATCTCAGTTAAACAATCACTGAAAATGTAGCAGCACTGGACAACTGTTCCATCCTAGAATGGGATTAATCAACAGGACTTTCAGTTTAACGCGTAAGGTTATGAATTGGTCGAAGCTAGTTATTAACACTATCGGATGCCGTCTCAGTTGTCTATGGGTTAGGTGTTCACACGGGGGACCGAAAGTCCCAGGTTCGATTCCTTCATTCGGGGTCGTCGGTACGTACTGTTGAAGAGTTCCATAGTAGGGCAAAACGGCCGTCCAGTGGTTCTAGGTTTACAATTGTTGTCTAGCTAAGATCAGTTCACGATTTCAGCCACAAAAATCCCACATATAAATATATATTTATTTGGAAATCTAAAGATAACTTACAGTCGGAACAATTGTTCAATACTGATTGATTTTGTGATAATTCCTCAGCTAATGACAATTAATAACAAGAAGTATATTTGAACAATATCATCTATTACTGTTTATCAAAATATAATGACGTTTTTTATTGTGCATAATCCACTCCCATCATTCTGTACAAGAAGAAATTTGTCATTAGTATTGCCACCAGAGAAATATAGTCACTATTTTAATTATTTCTTTTCTTTTACGCAATTCTTTATATATACATCATACCTAAATATTAATAATTAATCGCCGTTAATATTTTTTTATAATTCTATCATCATTGTTACTAAGATTCTTCACAAATGACAATTAACATCATTAAGTTACATTTTTAACTCTTAATCTACTTGAGTAATTTCACTAACGATTATGATCTTTTTTTATTTTAGTAAAACATTGAGGGAAAGATGTTAAAATTTCTTCCATAAAATGTCCACCAGTAGATGATCACGTGCTATAACAATTAATGTAATATGTTTTGTTTTAATTCAGCAAACTTAATTAAGTTTCATAGAACAAAAAGAATGCGGCTAATAATAGAATCTAGAACCAGTGTTTTATTCGCTTTGCAACTCATCAGTTGAATTTGTCTACATCACAGTGTATATATTCACACCGGTACTAAAATCCAGTATCTTTTGTTTCAACTCCTCAATTCATTATCCATTGAGCTACTGAATCATTGATAGCAATTAACTCAAATCCTATGCTAGTTTGTTTCATTTTTGAAGTTTTGTTGGTATGAGCTTGTATATGGGTGAGAATTTTCTGATTTTCTACATAAGTTCATCTTCATTAAACAGCTATTTATGACCGGAGAAAAATAGTTTAACTCATAGAAGTATTCATTTTCTTGCTTGTTAGTGATTTTTTGAAAGATAAGTGTTTCAAAATTGCTTTGGAATACTATAACCTGTAAAGAAAGTTCAAATGAGGGTGGCTTAAATGTCCACCAGTAGATGGTCACGTGTTGTATTAGATTGACTAATTTTAAAATATTGTGAATCTCTAGATTCTCAATGAATAAAATAGTATTTATTGTAAGACATAAATATTCTGGCTTCAGTATCATTCGTTATGGATATGAATTTTTGAGGGACTGCTATCCGCCTGTAGCTCTTATAGGGTTACTGCCGGTCCCAAGCCCGGGTAAAGGAGGAGGGTTGGGCATGGGGTTAGCGTCCCCATCCCGTAGAAAACTAAAACGCTAAAAAAACGCTTACCAGAAAAAAATAATCCAAACCGTAACAAGGCAACTGCTATTTAATTCCTGGTACTTACCCAATGTTGATAATATAATAAAAAGTGATTAAACTCTGAAGCCGCTTGTCTTATCCAACAAAATATCCTGTAGTATTATATAACGAAATGATTTAAGTTAGGTAACCATTGTAAACTAGGAAGCAACGGACATCTATTTCTTCTTAGTATGGGACTCCACAGGATTTCGCGTTCATGACCCCTCCAAGAACTGAGTTCGGAACATCCAAGCATCCGAGATGGCGCTTAACTCGCGTACCTTCACAATCCTCTATAATTAAAAAATCATCATGTCTTTACCAGTAAATTACTTCAAGCGGTAATTTCAAGGGTTCTCGTAAGATGTGAATGTTTGGCTCAGTAATATCAGAAGGTGGAAGCTATCATCAATGACAATGAATAGTGTTCTAATAATAACACTAATCGATTGACGCCTGAAAACCCTGAGTTCGAGCCCTGGTCAAGTAACGGGTGCTCACTTCTATGGAGCCCTGAAAAAGCATCTGTCCAATAACTCCTAGTTCGTTATGATTTTCTAAGATCAATGAGTGATTTAAAAATTCACTCCATAACCCCTTATACTCTAAAATGAAACCTACTAAATAGTTAAGTCTTAATAGAAAAATAATCAGTTTCTTAAAATACACATAATTTTTGATTTCACAAAATGCAATGGTTAGTGTCTATGGCTGTTTTTTATTCTAAAGAAACAGGTTATCTTTATGTCTATTTATAAAGTAATTGATGAAACTGATACCATTTACTATTAATGGTGTAATTTTTTAAGTTTGTTCTTTTCAACGTCAAAAACATGTCTATGCATAATAAACCAGTACTGTGTTCTTGTTTGTCGATTTCATGTTTATGCTTGAGCAAACTAAATGCACTGATTTCTTACTATCAAGCAGTGTTTTTTTTCTTTTAATTAATGTACACAGATTGATAACCTAGACTTTTGGTAAAGTGTATAATTAAGTAGAATGATTTTTAAATAATTGTTTTAAAACTATAACAAATGACGTGTTGAGAAGTTATTTCTTCTTGAATTTTGTAGATCTTTCAGTAGATGGTTTCAAATACCCTTAGGGTCAGTTGAAATGTACCTATTTAATATTTCCATGTGTAATCGTAACTAAGTTTATGTCTTAACACCATTGGAGCACAAGACGGAAGGTCCTGAGTTTGAGTCCCGATGATGCGGAATCTTTGATGCGCACTTCCGAGAAGTCCCACACTAGAACGAAACAGGCGTTCAGTGCTTCCAGGTTTTCAATGGTGGTCTAATATCAATCGATTTATGATATAAATCAAAAACTTAACAATCTACACAACCCCATAATAATAAGTATGTCTTTATGTTATAATTGCGGTTGTTCCGTTCACTAATTAAGTAAAATACTTAAAATAATTGTTGGCCTAATTAAATATATGTAGAAAAATATTTTCGCCAGATTACTTAGTCAATAAAAAATAAGTAGCTACTTGTTATACAATGAAACATTTTAAAATAAGTGATTATACTCTATAAATATTGTTTCTTTTTACCAATATATATATATATATATATATATATATATATATATATATATATATATATCGATGACTTTTCGACTGTCGTCAATCATTAAGGTGAACCTCTTCTAAGTCATAAAATTATTTTAAAATGCTATCTTAATATATAATATTATTAAGTGGTGAGTATCAGTAATTAAACGCAATAAGGATGTCTCTCATTTGAGAGGACCTGAAACATTCCTTGGTCAAAATGTAGATAAGTGGTCAAAACTTGAAAGAAAAAGTCTATACTGAATGGATGCTAATCAGGTTTAATAGTTTCGAAAGAAATCAACAAAGCTAAATGATTTACTACTGGAAGTAATCAAAAATGAGGTTTCTGACTGACCTACCAACTGAGTAGTGACCAATTTCATGTTTATTTAGTCCTTCAGCGTTAATCGAGTTCCGTTAGTTAAATGACTCGACGTTATATTGAATATGTTGAGATGTTAGGTGGTTGAATATAATCAATAGAATTGTAAATATCTGACTTTTACAGAAGATATGTGCTTCCTTGGATAACTAAGTGGTAACATCTCAGATCATGAAGCTGAATGACACGGAATCAAATATACATGGAAGTACCAGTCATCTCAAGATCATAGATACACCTTGCTGACAAATGCCAATTAGTACAAAATCTCGCTTCAGGATATCCTGTCAACTAAATCAAACCACCGCTTCACATCTCGACATAGTGCACGTAATATTGAATCACTTAGACTAGTGGCCATATTGTTGCTTGATTGATCATCACTAAAAAGAACTTAAGATACCTGAAATTAATCACTACTCAATGGTCGATCAATTGTAAAAAAATATATTTCGAAAGTACAATTCTCCTTAAAATTCCATATATATATATATATATATATATATATATATATATATATATATATATATATGAGAGAGGGGGGGGGTTCGCAAAATATGTAGTTCACCCTTAAGTAAATAATCACATTTATGCAATAGTCTGAAATGTCCGAAGACAATTTATTATTAGTATTAAAAGAAAAATAGATCACAATTTAAGATAAGCAATGAAACTGATAAGAATAAGTTTCTTTTTTTGAAACAAAAATATTTTTTTGTAAACATCCGTTCTTATAGAAATCAATAAATAAATCTTATTCTCATTGTAACATTATTTATCTTGTTTCTTGTTGTTGTATTTCTTTTATTAAACAAAAGTTACTTTTTATTTTCGTGAATACATTTTGAAAACCAATTTAAATGAAAGTTTTTTATACCGGCTTAAATTGTATTTCAAAGTGAATTCGACCCGACCAAAGTAACTCGTGCTAGTACAGCTGCTGAAGGTGTATGCAAATGGATATTAGCTATGGAACAGTATGATCGTGTAGCTAAAATTATAGCACCAAAGCGTATTAAATTAGCTGAAGTTGAATTAACAGAGAATATGGCAGAAGATGCATTAGCTGAAGTTGAAGCTAAATTAGAAAATTTACAAAATCAACTTAAATTTACACAAAACGAGAAAAAACGCCTGGAAGATGAAGTATTAAATTGTGCAACTAAATTAGAAAGAGCTACAAAGTTGATAGGTGGCTTAGGTGGTGAGAAAGACCGTTGGCATCAGGCAGCTAAATATCTTGAAAAATTATATGATAATCCTATTGGTGATGTATTGACAACAGCTGGAATAATTGCTTATTTGGGACCATTTACATCGACTAACAGAGGCTCGCACCTGGCGCAAGACCGATAGGTCCTGGGTTCGAATCTCGCGGGGAGCGGGATCGTGGATGCGCACTGCCGAGGAGTCCCATACTAGGACGAGACGGCCATCCAGTGCTTCCAGGTTTCCAACAGTGGTCTAACATTAACTGATACAAGATCTCAATAAAAATAAGTTATTTTTCTTTATTATGTTTACCTGCGTTGTAATAGATTTGAACATATTTTACATTCCAATCATCAATAGCTCTGACTTGTTTCAAATATCAATTTATCAAGAGAAAGTTGTCCATTAACTTCCGTAAGATGATTTAGTCTACAAAGAATAGTGTTTAATTCACATTTCGAATTTCAATGTTAAGGAATAATAAATTTTGTAAACACTAAGCGCATTTTATAAATGAAAAACAATTTATAGAATCAAACGTATTAGTATAAATGTTCTACATTCGCTGACCAACTGAAGTTCGTTTGAAATTCTGTATATATTACTGCATGAGTGATTTATAAATTCTGCATACTGGGTTGTTCTCCATTCTGACTATTAGGTGAGTGAGTATGAGAAACAACGTTCTGGACTAATAGCCACTTAGTGTTTTTCGGCTATCATCTCACATTTAGCGTAACATTAGTACTAGATAGATAGCTTAAGGGATTTAATTAATACTTGGATTAGATCAATACATCTGCTCTCCTATCTAACAGTCCGGTCTCAAGAGCCCCAATAAACACATTCCTCATTGTGTTTTCTAAGAATCTCGACGCAATACTTATTGATAGAACAATTAACTTCAAAATGTAACAAGACGAAATTGAGTCAAGTCTAATAGGTTTCAAACGTATTTTTAATCGTTGTTGTTATGTAATCACTTCAAATAACTAGCCAAATTCTAGACTTAGTTTTAGGCTTTTCAGTATATGCTTATGTAAACACTACGGGCAATTAACTGAACACTAGAATGAAACTTTAACCAGCCATATATTTATTAAACTTCTTACTTTAACAAGTTTCATCTGATTACTTGGTAAACAATAAAACTCAAAATTACATAATTGTATCTTGTTAACCAAACTTATTCAGAATTAAAATTCTATTCAGAAAAATTGAGGCACTTGTTTTAGTCGATTGTACAGTTGTGAAATGACATCACTGAGAAAACATGTATTTGAGAGTATATAACAAATAATCTGAAATATGCTAGTCCTAAATAGTCGAAACTTAATCGAATGAAAATAGTGTCGATATTCTTAAATCTCTCAAAGTAATTAACAGACAAAGAAATTAAAATTAAAGGAATCCATTTCGGTGTTATTTACCAGTGAGTACAACACTATTGTTTATGAAGTAATTAATACGGTCGGAATAAACTTATTTTTACCACGGATGGACTTATTTCAACTCAAAGTTCTAAAAATATTATGCTCATTGTGAAAAATCAAAGTCCTAATTTCGACTTCTTATTCTTGTGAGTGATCGCTGCTGAGTAGTTTAAAACTTGAACGAAGAAGCTACTATCATCTCATGACGAACACCATTTTGTTTATTTTTTAAAATGGGCCCAATTCTTTCTCTACTTAAATAACGACCGCTATGATCTAAATAACTAGTTACTTCCATACGCATTCAGTGACTTGTCGACCGTTGACATCAATAAACTAGTTTTATACACCAGAAAACGTGCGACAATATTTCAAATATAAACAATGCCATCGGAATACATATCCATCGATGGAAATAAACGAAAACAGAACAAGATGCAACTATCAACCTCAAAAATAGAATATTTCTTTGAGAAAAAAAAACACAAAATAAACTATTTAGTTAGATCATATCATTCATTTCATTAACAATAAGAAAGTGTTCGCCCTCCGCCTTACAAAAAAAGATGTGATGTAAACAGGAAAGATAAGAAAAACAAACAAAAAATGAAAAGTGATCTTCCCATTGCTTTGATAATATTCTTCACTTCTCTCAACACAGAAGTGAAAATGTGTATAATTTTTTTTTCAAAATAAAACAGAAATCAACACCCCATAGACAACAGGAAGACACAAGAAAGTTAAAGAGTAAGCGAAAAGCGAAGATATTATACACACACACAGAGGGAGAGATAGAGAATGAAGTATCAATCATGTAATTCAACTCAAACAGAAATTATTATCATTAATGCCGTTATTCGCTTATTTGTCAAAGTTATGAAGGAAAATTTTAGATTTTTTCCATCAAATTGATATGAATTTTCCTGGTGTCTCTTCTTCCTTAACTGATGTTTGGATCAATTTCAACAATCGAGAAAAGGGAGGAATAAGTTCTGAATGAAGGGAAGTAAACAATACGAAATGATATATTAATTCATATGAATTAAAAGTACTGAGATCAAGTTATATTATTACATAAGTTTGATTTATAGTTAACATGTATATCAAGTACCATACTGTTTATCAACACATATTATGTACATTGGTTTAAGAGCCAATGCACATCATAGGAAGCTGTTAAAATGGGCGAATATTGGGAAAGTTGTAACTTGAGGAATTATCTTGTGAAAAATTATCATTTATATTTTTAGTATGGAAAATTTGCAGTATTTCTACAGTTGGAATCATGAACTGATCTTAGCTACATTACTGTTAAAAACCTGAAAGAAATGCGCAGGGCTTTTGTCCTATTACTGGAACCCTCAGAAATACTCATTCACGACCACACACGCGGGAATCGAACATAGGACCTTCGGTTTTTATTGTACAATTGTTAGACATTTGGATTATTGTATCCTTATGTTATCTTTATTGTAATCTTTTTTCCGCATATAGACTATCAATATATGTTTGATATTTTTAAAGTTACTATTCACTGATTACGGACCTACCGCTTATGAGCGTACTGTAATTCCCTATTTATTTTGGTCGGTGGTCAGGTCAGGATGTAACTCTATATTACTGCACGAACTGAGTCATATAACTGGACAGCTACACAACACGGATCTTATCTAATTGCTAATCTTGTCTTTCGAATAAAAACGGGGTTAGACGTAGCTCGAGGGCCAATAGGTATTAAGGTTTCACCCGTTGTTCATTGGTCATTGGTAAAATCAAAGGTCGCCGGCTATACAGGCGTAGAGCGAACTAATCAATAATCAGACTAGAGAATACTACTGCTCCTTTAGTAAAGGCCCGATCATACTTGCTACAATATAATTCAACAATCTGTTCTTTTTGAAGGTACAACGGAAACACAGATTTTTTCTGGCTGAAAAACAAATAATAAATGACAAGACAAATACTGTAAGTGAGAAAATATGGATAGGATAGCCAGTTAATCAGCCATTGAACAACTTCCGGCTCAAGTCAAATGATCAGTTCATGGGCGGATGAAATTACTAAATTATGTTAAAATAGCTGATGCACTGAAAAACCTCAGTTTCTTTATATCGTAATATGTACTAATAGATATTGATTTTAAAAAGTTTACTCTTTATTAAAGTGGTCAAATATCCACTATTAACATTGCAACAAAACTTGGAATTTCGATGTGGTTGCCTAACACAAACTATGTCGCTTATGCGTCCAGGTAGATTATTTCATAAGGATTAATAGTTGCGTTACAAAATATATCTCTGATAAAACTAAATGGATAATGACACAAATTTCAATATCACTTAATTGTTGTACTCTGGTGTTGCGAAAAGAAGATATTACCTCACCTAGCTGTACACAGTCATAATATATATGAAGAAAATCCACTTAACCATCAACAATACAGTAGTATATAAATATACACTAATTTTCTATTAACTCACTCACCAGATACTTGAATGTAACCCATATTTCAAGTGTAAAGGCTAATTATAGTATGCGGTTGCTTAAGCCCAAGTAGATGGGACAGGGTTCAAAGTTGGGAATTAGGGAAAGTTGAACACTTTAACGATTAAGCCATCACTCAACATAAATATTATCGTTTAGATATTTCTAAACAGTTTATAGAATAATAATTGACAAAAATACTAACAAAATCAATGTCACCTACAATTCTGATCTTCTTGAGGAACTTCTATTGTCACTACTGGTGGTGGATTCACTGATTCATCTACCACAATAATATCTTCTGGTCGAGGTGCTTTAGGTGGAAATTGACCATCCCAAACCGCATCAATTGTAGTATACATAGATGATCTACTAGTCTGAGATGTACTGTCATCATTGTTTGTTCCAGTCGTTGTTGATGCTAAATTTTTTGAATTGTTTGGCAAGCCTAAAATAGAAATTATTTTACGGAATATCTCTTCTGCCTAAAATAAATACAAAAACATAATATGGAAAAATGTTTAGGTTGTTTATACCGATAAGTTTAAAATAAACAAAAATATTATCAGGTCATAATATTAAAAAAAAAATGAAAATCGGTCAAACTCAAAATCAGAAAGAATTCAATAATAATAACAATAATAATGATAAACCATCTTAAAGAAATTAAATCCTCTTTTTTTAAGATCAAATAAATACACATAGTTGTTTAACTGATATAGTTGCTCGATTTCGTATCAATATTTATTATATGCATTATATTATCTTTTGTTATGTAAACAACAGTACAATTATATGAAAACATAGTTGAAATTGATGTTGTCAAATTACGATTATGTGTAGAATCAAACAAAAACAAATAAACAAAAGATTGAAAGAGTTCATCAACAGGATAATTTAAACCAACGTAAATTGAATGGAAATATATACCCTTCGCACAAGCTAATACCTATCCGAACTTAGTAGATAAACGGATAATAGGGTTGGGTCTTTGAAGTGAGTGGTACTGGGTTTCAATGTCGGTGTGAACATTAACTATGGGATGCATGTAAATTCAGTTGACGTGTCGTAAATAGGACGAAACGTGGGTCCTGGATTTCAGCTGTTAGTCACATTTCATCTATTCTATAAAATAACCCTTGAAAAAAGTATCTAATCGAGAGTTTGTAAAGTTAACCGTTATTTGTTACAGACTGACACCAATCATCTAAAGAACCGATAAAAAAGCAGGAAACACTACAAAGCTGTTTCATTTCAAGGAGAATACAATACCTTCAAGTCCCAACCCACTGTTTTACATTCCTGATATTAGTCGTTTCGAAATGTATTGCAACAATTATCCGATCTCACCCATCATCCATGAAACCTATTTCTCTGCAAACATGACTGAATTCCACCACTACTGCTGTACAAGGTACCAGAAAGAATGGAACGTTAATTTTGGCGAAATTACAGTGTTTATCTAACATTTGTATCTTGAGGTGTGTTCTGCAATCAAGTTATTTCTAAACTGTTTTCTCTACTCTTCTCTAAGTGTTCTGACAACGCTGTGATTTTTGACGTACTGAAACTTTTCTTTCCATCTGGCGACTGTGATAGTTCCAAAGCCACTTTCCACTACACGTTAATTACGAGCGATGTGTTAGTAATATTCACCTAACTTGAGTACACCTGCATATAAATCATTCACCTAAATAGTACTCTATTATTCTTTGATTGTCTAGAGTGAATTTTCATTCGTCCCAGTTACCAACACTTGCATTCATTATAACAAACTTTTACCGTTAATAAAAATGTAAATTTTAATATTCATTACAATTATAATGAAAACCATATAGTCTGATTTCTCAACCAATAAGTAGTCAGTTGGTGACATACAAATTAGATCTACTAGAAAACTAATAAATGAATGAATACTATGCAATTACTATTGTAGTATTACGAAAGTTTTATATATATATATGGAGAGAGAGAGACTATCAATAGACTGCAATAATGGTTATGCAATATGCTGCCACATGTAATAAAACATCATTTATAAAACATGAAAATATTTCATGCATGCATTTACTATCACACACACATCCAGCCTACATATTTACATACTAAAAATATGAAGTATTATCTATTGAAATGATCACAAAATTTTGGCCGAATGCTTTAAAACACAAATCGATTGAATATCAGTAAACGGTTAATAATAAACAACAACAAATAGCGAAAGTGTAGTATTCACATAAACCGTACACTATGTGTATGTGTGTATTGTACACATAATTACTGATGTAAAAGATATACAGAGAAACTAATACACAATTAATCATTATATACAAACTGAAGTAAACATGACAATCATTAAAATGAAGGGTTAAAGGCCAAAATTAAAGACATTGATTTTTTCCGGATGATTAGTTATCAAGAATAATATGAATGAATGATAATCTATTCACTATAAGTATTGATGCAAAATAAAGAGAGAACAGATACACATAAGCGTTAACAATAGAAAACTACCCACCTAAGCTTTTACTTTTGGGTTGTAAGTTTTCTTTTTAAGTTAATAAATATGTATATTTATGAATATGTGTACGTACATCCTCGATTAGATTTAGCTTACACATCTTCATTGTAACTGAAGAAGCCGGCTGGGCTTGAGTATAGGAAATTTGTTTATCAGTATTAGAATCGGACACCGCACAATGCAACACCGATTTAGCTTAATGTAGCCGGCCGATAGAGTTAACACTTAAAATAATTAAAAACAGTCTGCTAAGATTCAACCAATAAGATTGGTATGAATAGCAATGAAATCAAGAAGAAGGTTGGTTTCATTTTCCTGGACTGTAATCGTACTAAGATTGATGGTCAATATATGAAGGAAAATAAAGGTTAATGAATACATATGCACTATGACAACAGATTTTCAGCCATTTTTTTTACGAGAGATAACAATTATATTGCGAACTTCAAACTAGGAGTATGAACCTTTAAACACGGCTCAAAACAACCGTCTATGACTTCAATGAGTGTTATCTTGCCTCTGTTTGGTCACCTCTTGCATTTCGTTCATCTGATTTATTAATGCTTGAGGTGTTTGATTGCGGGAAATGGGTACATAACACAAACACATCATCTGCTAACAGCCTGAAACATTATAAGCTGATTTATTATTTTTATCAAGCATAGTTCATCATTACTCACTTCAACATACTCAGATATAATCAGTGTTTCGAAACATATCTGTAAATGATCATCAACAACATAGAATGGGTCTTTCACTTTATCAGGTCATGTTTCACATACTTATTCAAAGAACTATCAAAGATTATATTCTTACCACTTAATATCATTATCGTCAATGCACTTTCATTTAAACACATTAAGTACAAACAATCATAATTGTTATACTCTACTACATTTATCCCTATTTGTTGGTTATATAATTTACAAAATGTGAATAATTTCATTTAGTTATAAAACATATCTACCTATTTTACATGATAACAGTCAAATGTGAACCTTAGGACTGACCAAAAAAAGTCATCCAGATTAATTATGTCAGTAAATAAATAACATGAACGAATTATTACTTACAATGAACATTGAAATTAAACATGAAGTTTAACATTGAATATCATATTACTATTATAAAAATAATAATAATAATATAATACCATACAAAATATATGCAATTATTAAAAAATAATGAAATACATAAATCAGTTTCCTACACTTATTAAGCGATATATGTGTGAAATCACATGGTTTTAAACTAGATTAATATAGAATAAAATAACCAACTTATATAATAAATTAACATTTTTCTCTGTTATCATGATAAATTTAATACGGAATCAGTTATTTGGGAAAATAAAAATGATTGGTAAGGATTCGGATTATTCCGTTATTGATTATAGCGACTGAATTTTCATTAATCTTCATTGATATATGTCAATTCTATGTGGATTACTACGATTTAATCATTTTGTCGATAGGATAATTTAAACTCTCAATGATATAGGTATCATATGTGTTGAACAAGTTAGTGAATATCTGGTTTCAGTAGCTCAGTGGATAACGCACTGCTATTTGAGACGAAGAGAAATTGGTTAGGGTCTCTAAATAAACAACAATATTGAGTCCCAGATACATCCGCCTGACGAGTCCGAAATACGCTAAAATGAATCCCACTACTAGCTACAATCTATTTACTTTAAAACATGAGACCCGTGCTCTAAATTCATTACATATAAAACAATATAGGTGTACAACTTTGAATATTTAATCGGTTTGTTTTGCAACAAACGAACATATGACTACAACACGATTCGTTGATTAAACCTTGGATATTTTATTGATATACATCAACAGATACTGAATAAGAACTGGATATTTTCAATGTAGATATTTAGTATCATTTAAGTAGTTAAACTAGGCAATACAACATTAATTACAAATTGATTAATCTCGTACAATACAGATGAAAAAATAAAATTTTATTAACAAATAACCTATGAGTTACATTATTAGCAATTGAAATCTTTGGGATTGTTAACGATTAAAAATGGTTGATGAATGAACGACCACTCAATGAACCAAAAGTTAATACCAATAAAACAATCTTTTAAAAGTTAAGAATCGTTAACATATTGTTGACATATAATTCCCACTTAAACTTTTAAAACGTGAAGTTCAACCAAGGGATCTTTTTTCAAAGAATTTATTATCAAGCTGTACAATCGCATATATTTATGAAAATTTTGTTAAAGTTTAGTTTCATAAGGACATATGAACAGGGAATAAAGAGATGGTGGAGGGAATAAAAATAAAGATGTAATAGAAAGATTAAAATACTAGATTATGTAATGTGAGTAATAACAATTAGAAAGCCTTGTAAAATCAATAAGTTAGTAATGGATTATAGTGTGAATGAAGTAAGATCATTAAAATGTTTTAGTTATAATAATCAAAGGTAATAGAGAGGTTAAATAAAATGATATCTGAAAGCAATTATAAATAAAATCATGAGGATATGAGACATAATTAAAGAGAGAGGGGGATATTTCAAATACAAAATATAATAATCATAATAAAGACAGTTTAAGACCATAGTATTGATATAGATGACACGTACGTCTTTGATACATATATACGATTGTACAGCTTGATATTAAATATTTGATACCATAAAACTTTTCACTGGACAACTTTTTCTTTCAAGTTTGTAAGTTTTGCAGCAATACGGTGGAAAACAAACTACACTAGCAATTAGGTAGATATCACGGATAACATTAAATGATTAAGTCATGTTGCGAATCGATTTAAGTTGGTTCAGTTTTTGGGCCTACATTCATTTTCGTGTGGAGTCATGAGTATGAGCAGCTGAGGAAAATTTAACTGAAACCAAATAGTTGTCAATATACCTTTTTGTTTTAATTGATTTCCTAGCTATTATTAGATGGTAGTGAAAACGAACATCAAAGAC